TCTCTCTTTCCTCCACTTCCTCCTGATCCTGTCGTATTCCCCGCTGAAGGTAGGAGGGTCTCTCTCTCTCTCTCCATGGTCCTGTCGTAGGTCGGTTCATTTCTCTCTCTCTCTCTCTCTCTCTCTCTCTCTCTCTCTCTCTCTCTCTCTCTCTCTCTCTCTCTCTCTCTCTCTCTCCCTGATCCTGTCGTCGGTCGGATCATATGTCATTCTTTCTCTCTCTCTCTCCCTGATCCTGTCGTCGGTCAGATCATATCTGTCATTCTCTCTCTCTCTCTCTGTGTGTCTATCTCTGATCATGTCTTAGGCATTGCGGGCAGGAGGAGCAAGGATGGAGGGAGAGTATATGAGGATACGAAAATCTCTATCATTCTCTCTTCTCTCTCTCTGTGTCTCTGATCGTGTTTTAGATATTGCCGGCCGGAGGAGGAGCAAGGACGGAGGGGAGTATGAGAGGAGGGTATCTTTTAATGACTTCCTGCTGAAGCAATGGATGCAAGGACGAAGGCAGATCTGTATCAGGGAACTGAGTTCAGTTGTCGTTCATTGTTGTTTTTTGTGTGCAGGGTTCTCAACTTCACCGTGCCACGTGGCGACTTCGTTCTCCCTCGGCTGCTTCTCGCTCTTCTACTCCTCACAGGGTGTATGTGCTGTCTCTTATACACATCTAGATGTGTATAAGAGACAGGAGAGAGAGAGAGAGAGAGAGAGAGATGCTGTTGATATCATGACCTACTTCAAGAGCCCTCCCTGTCCCGTGTGGGCCTGTTTCCCTGCTCTGGCCCTCAGCCTCTGGCGTGCGCGTGCACGATGAGTCTGAAAGAGAGAAAATACGGGATGGAGGGAGTGAGAGAGAGAAAAGAAGCGACGGAGGAAGTGAATCTCACACACGCTCGCGGAGGCGCGCGCAGTGTAGACAGAGGATAATGAGACACAAGCAGCCGTATGCGATATAGACCGCGGGCTTTCCGCCCCTCGTCCTCGTCTTTTTCCAGGCGTGCGTCAAAAGAAGGCTGCACGGGCGAATCGGGGGAAAGGAGGGATCCAGAGAGGGAGGGACACATACCCGGAGAGACCGGGGATGGGTGGAGTGGAGAGAGAGAGAGAGAGAGAGAGAGAGAGAGAGAGAGAGAGAGAGAGAGAGAGAGAGAGAGAGAGAGAGAGAGAGAGAGAGATGGGGCTTTCGGCCCCTGATCCTCGCTCTTTTCTGTCTTCTTGCCCCATTTCTCTCCTCTTCTTCGCTCTTTCCCCGCGCTCACATTCTTCCTCTTCCCTCTTTTCCTACTCCTTTCCGTCTCTTCTCTCCTTTTCCCTTTCTGTGCGTTCTCTCCTCTACCCTCTCTCTCTCTCTCCTCTTCTTTCCTTTCTGTCTCTCTCCTTTCCTTTCTGTCGCTATCCTTTCCTTTTTGTCTCTCCTCTTGCTCCCTTCTTGCTTCTCCTCCTCCTTTCCCTCTCTTTACATTCTTCTCCTACCCTTTTCCCTCTCTTCTCCTTCTTTTTCACTGTCTATCTGTCCTCTTCCCCCTTCTACGCCTACTCCTCCGGTCCTCCAAATTCTCCCTCTCTTCAGGTTCCTTTCCTACTCCTTTCCTTTTCTTTTTTTCTTCATCCCTTTCTTTGCGTCCTCTTCTTCTCTTTCTGTGTCGTCCCTTCTTCCCTTGCTGCGTCTCCGCGTCCTCCTCCCCTCGCCCTCCATGTTTTCATCTCTGTACGTTCTTTTTCTACTCTTGTCCCTTTCTCGTCTTCTTCGTCTCCCGTTGTCTCCTTTTTTCTCTCCTCTCCTTATCTTCGCTCCCCATTCCCCTTCTCCTTCCTCCTCCTCTTCTTTTTCTTCCCCCCGTTCCTAGTTCTCTCCATCCGTCCCTTGTCTGTCGCCCTTCTACCCTTGTCCACCTTCTTCTCCCCTTTGCCATCCTTTCTTGCGTCCTTCTCTTGTTCTCCTTTTCC